GGGGTGAAGCAGAAGGGCAGACACCTGCAGGGGAGGGACCAGCACCAGAGGAGAGAGGCAGGGCAGGTGTGCAGAGGGAGGTGTTAGAAGAGGAATAGCTCACATGATCAGAGTGGGGCTACTGGAGGAGTGGGCATAGGGCGGAGAGACGGGCTGGTGGGGGGGGGCAGGTCTCAGGAAGGCTGAGGGCAGTGAGAAGGGCAGGAGTCAGGACAACAGAGGAGGGTGAGGGGTTGGGAGGGAGCAGGCACCAGGGGAGTTGATGGAGCAAGGGGAGGAGACATGGCAGCAGAGGGAAAAGGTAGATATTTATTAATAACTTGGGTGCCACAATGGCACATCCAAGCAAGCCACATGAATTCGGTACTGGTGCACAACACAAAATTCATTCTGCTTATGGGAGGAAACTCTTAGAGGGAACATTTTCCCCCCCCGCCCCCAGCCTCTCCACCCCCGCATTAAATGTCACACACATTGGGTTAATGCAATTGCAGGATAGTTGCACGAGGGGGGGTTGGTGAGGGCCAAACCAATCCCTGTTGGTAAGAGGATGGTGGGAAAAGCCTTTGGGGGGGGGGAGTCACATGACACTTTTTATTTATGGTCATATGTCCATATTGCCTCGAAAGTGTTACCTCCAGAGGTGTGGCTAATAGGGGCCAGAGGGTGTGGCCTGACAGGGTAGCAACTAATTCAGCTGGGGTCAATTTATCGCTTCTAATACAGACATGATAAATCAATCACCAACTATGGGACTCCACCTCAATGAGAAGCCCAAGGGGAGTCAACGGGAGAGCATCTCCTGTCAGCACAACACTATGAAGACCACAGTGAGTAGATCTAAGCACATCAACTTCAGCTATGTGAATAGTGTAGCTGAAGTTTCATAACTGAGCTCGATCTCCCATGGTGATGTAAACCAGCCTGCTGTGAGTTCAATGGGAGCAGGATCGGTGGTTGTTAATGATAAATGAACTAGTCTGGAAAAACTGATTTTCCTCCCATCCACAAGGATGGCATCTCTTCTGCTTTTTTGAAGTTCATGTTGTACATGCCAGCAGACATCCAGTTTCTTACACTGGGACTGATTCTTCTTTGCAAACCTTATGTATTTTGGAGCTTTCCTGCAGCGATGCACAGTTTAATTGAGGTGGAGATGCTCTTACACAGATGGTATCGTGAAAAAGATCTGAAAGACAGAATGAGCTTGGGCATATGAAAGACTGGGGTGCTTAGGTGAAGGGGAAGAATGGAAAACCTGCTCTTCCACATGTTCATAGCAAGGCAAGGGGCAGACCTGACAGGAGATATAAGGCAGGTAGGGGAGGCTTTTGCAGCCAAGGTTTGGGGAACTAGAAAGGGAAGTGAAAAGGCTCTCTGGCTGTATGGAGGCTGCAGAGATGGGGGGAGTTCTTGTACAGTTCAGACAAGTTTTGGGGAAGCCATATGGTCAGTGCTAATGTGACCCAAGCTTCCAAAGCTTTAATTTCACCCTCAATTATTCATTTTGATTGTGCAGAGCAAAATAAAAATGTGACATTCTAGTATGAAAATTGCCACCTCTGAGTTACAAAAAACTGGGACACACTGGATGGCTTGGGGCCCATAAAACTGGGCAACTGGCAATGTATACTCACAGACTATATAGTTTTTCTAATGACAGCTAAGATTCTCACATAATTAGTATACTCCAGGAGCTCGGGCTTTAAGAAAACCCCCAAATATGTCAAGACTCATGATACAATTGTGAGAGTTGGCCAGAGGCACTGGAACAATTTGTATGGGGGAGGAGGGTACTGATAGCCATTGAATCAAACTGTAAAACCTGGATATAATGAAAACCATTTAAAGCCAGGGGGGTCTTGCAGCACCTCCACACCTGAAGTTCTGGCACCTCTGGAGTTGGCAGCACTGCAAATGAATCGTTCAGGGAAGAAGAGTAGAGGGGCGCTGGCTCCAGTGTTAGCTGCAAAAGCCGTCCTGCCAGTATTTGGGGCAATTCATGCTTGGACTGCAGGCCTCAAACATGAATGTTTCTACTAGCTGGCATGCCACATTTCTCCAAGTCTGCATCGTGTGTCGTCCTCTTCCCTAGAAGTCTCATAAGAACAAAGCTGTAAACCTGCTCCACTCCTGCATAGGGATGCTCTCCCAAGCACTTTTGCAGGATCTCGCCCTTCACTTCCCTTTGCTCATCAAGCATGTGCAGTTACTAAGTAAACCCCCAAATCCTGTCTTTATAAAATTAAAGCAACCGTAGAAATCAAATGCCTCTGCAACAAGGGATTTAGCTAGTGCTTTTTTGTTTCTTTTTAAAATGAGGAACCAATACAAAACGTCCCATTTGTTTTTATACAATGTGGTAGGGTGGCCAGAGAGCTTTGCAGTATTGTGTAGGTTGCTCCCACTCCCACAGTTCTCCCATATGCTATTGTAAGTAGGGCCAGCCCACAACATTTTGGCACCTGAGGCGGGGAGCTCAAATGACGCCTCCATGCCCGCTCGCTTGGGCCAACACTTTGAAAGGTCTCAATTCTCTGGGTTCTAGAGGTGCCCCCCCCCACTGTCCGGCACCTGAGGCAGCCGCCTCAGTTTACCTCATGATAAGGCCAGCCCTGATTGTAGGGATGGAAAAAAATGTAGCTTCTCTAGGATATCGCTTCAATGACAGTATGGGCGTATCTAGACTATGCTAGACTTTTGAAAGAGGATATGCAAATTCCACTTTTCCTTACAGAACGAGGTTTATGCAGCTTGTTGACAAATGGGAGGGTTCACCGACAAAACCACGTCTTAATTACTTTAACTTTTGAAAGTGCTGCTTTCAAAAGTGAGCTCGAAAGAAGATATGTCAGTTCCCATGGAATTTGCATATCCTCTTTTGAAAGTCTAGCATAGTCTAGATACGCCCTATAACAGGCTGGCAGTGACATATCAATGTTGGGAAAAAATTAAAGGAAGTTCTGCTCACTCCCTGAGACAAGTGGCTTGTTAATCCATCTACACGTAAGTGGGTAGGGTGGAAAAGAGAGGATGTAGGATTTAGACTGGAAAAAGTCAAGGAGCAGCAAAGTCTGGGGAGCTGCTCTGATGTTTTCTTGTTATTTAACAACTCCATGAAAGAGGTGTGACTGGACAACATATAATGTGCAGACTGTGTTCATGGAGCAGGTTGGGAAAGTCACCTGTCTGCGCACAAATACATCTTCTGAGC